AATAAAAATTTCCTTCTGCTATAATGTGAAGTGTTTGCCAAATATAGTTTGTATTTTTCTACCTATAAACAGCATATTTAGATAACTTTATATTCAGAAAGCATTTACATAATGATGAAATGGAGACTATAGAAGTGATCACATCTTATAGTGGGAAATTTTGGACATTTGTTATTGGTGTCTAATTCTAACTCTAATCATCTACCACTTCTAGTTTTAAGACAGAAATAAGAACTTTGTAGACACATTTACCACGATAACATCCACAGTAATCTTAACCCAAGTAGCTTTCTAGGACCAAACTCCACAATGGAACTCATTTTATCTGTATTAACTTCCCCAATTAGATGGAATAATGCTTCTGGTCATATAACATGCTTATATTAACATATCTCCATACTACCATTAAGTGGGTTATATAGTCTCTCTCATTAAATGAACTTGCTACTGAAATGGTGGTAATTAGTGGTTTAATGATGAATACTTTGATTTGCATAGAAATAACTATATTTCATATTTGGACTTTAAGATTTGGGATACAAACTGAAAATAGGTGGTGAAAAAATAAATCTAGAGAGCTGGCAAATTTGGCACCTGCCAGCCTTGTCATATCCTAGGCATAGTCTCTCATTATTATGTTCATATTGTAATTATCACCTAATGCTATGTTATCCAAATAAGATTCTGCCAATAAATACATGTCTCTGTATTACAGAAATATTTCCTTTCAATCTGTGTTGCATAGTCTGTAAATATCTGTACTAAGAATACATTTAGTTTAGTAAATGCTACCACTTTAGTAGAAATGTAAAATAAAAACACATAGGATCATTACAATAATAAATACTTAACAAACAAATTACATGAATAAATATTCATGTAATTAAGTTTATTTCACCTGTAGTTTCTCTAATTGTCTTTCCTGTTATTGCAATTTTCTTATCTTTAGATGACATTGAGATTGAAAGTGTGATTCAGCCACTATGTCACAGATATTATTGTTGATAATTTATTCCTTTTTAAAATTTTATATATTTATTTTAATTTTGGGTGTTTGAATGTTTTGCTTGCATGTGTATAATTGCACCCATGTATATAATCCTTATGAGGCTAGAAGAGGGAGAGAGATCCTGGAACTGGACTTATAGACAGCTGTTAACCATCACATGGGTGCTGGGATCAGGCTCTGTAACCTGGATCCTCTACATGAACATCTAGTGCTACTAACAGCTGAGCCATATCTCCATCCACAAACTTATATGTTTTTAAATATGGAAACAAATACTATACATTTCAAAGATCCACTTGAGAAACTGATAACCCCCTTGGATGATTTATATTTTCTCTTAGAAAATATGACTCTGTTATATAATTTGATTGTTTTATACACTAAAAATGACACAAGCTGTGCTAGTTTTTGTCAATTTGACACAAACCTAGATATACCTGAGAAGAGAGAATCTCATTGCTTCCACCAAATTGGCTGGTGAGCATCTCCATGAGGAATTTTATTTAAAAAAATTTTTAATGAATCTTTAGAATTTCATACAATGTATTTTGATCACAGTCAGACCCTTTCCCCTATCTAACCTAAACCTTATTACCCACTTTTACTTTACATCCTCTATTATTATGTTTTTAAAGGCCTATTGAATCTGCTTTGTGTTTCCCAAATGATCTTGGCTCAGGGTCCATGCCCCCTAGAGTGTGGACAACTTAAGAAGAATCATACCCTTCTTCTTCTCCCAGTAGCTCTCAATTGTCAATAGTTCTGGAGCTCTGGGTGAAGGTTTGTGCCTACCTCCTTGCTCCTTGCTAGGATATCATCTGGCTTGGGCTTGCACATGTTTCGTGCATACTGTTAAAACTGCTTTGGGTTCATGTGTGTAACTGCTCTGTTGTGTCTGGTACACACAGTTTCCTTATATTTATCCACAACCTCTGGCTTTTACAATCTGTCCCCCATCTTTCCCAATGCCCTGAGATACGGGAAGAGAAAGTGTAATATAGGTTTCCTATTTAGGGTAGAACACTCCTACATCTCTTATTCTCTTCATGTTAACCAGTGTGTGTGTCTGTGTTCAGTGCTATTTACTGCAAGAAGAAGCTTCTCTGGTGAGAGTTGAAATATGTGCTAATCCATGGTTATAACAATTAAGAGTCAATATAACTATGTCTGTTTGGCAGAATAATAATAGTATGTTCTCTTTTAAGACCTGTGAGAAGTCTTACCTTGGTCAGAATAGCAAAGATCCAAAAAACAAATGATGACAAAAGCCAGAGAAGATGTGAGGAAAGGTGAGCATTTATTCACTGCTAGTAGGAATGCACACTGGCGCAAGAATAATTATGTCTAAGTTCCTCAAACAAAGTACAAATAGAGAGGCCAGAGAGTCAGCTAAGTGGTTAAGAACTCCGGCTGCTCTCTCAAGAACTGGATCCATTCCCAGCACCTACATAGTGGCTAAGAGCTGTTTATAACTCCAGTTCAAGGGGATTCAATGTCTTTTTATGATCTCCTCAGACTCTGCACTCACACTGTGAACTGACATACATGCATGCAAAACAGTCGTACATATTTAAAAAATCATATTTTTTAAGAACTAGAAATAGATATACCACATGATCCAGCCATACCACTCTTAGCATATCACCAAAAGGCTCTATATCTTTCTGCAGAGACACACCTATTCATCAGTGTTCGTTGTTGTTCTATTCACAATAGTCAGGAAATGGTAATAAACTAGATGTCCATCAGCTTATGAATGGATAAAGAAATTATGGTACATTTACACAAGGATATATTATGCAGCTATTAAAAATTATAAAATTCATAGGTAAATGGATAGAACTGAAGACAATCATCTTGAGTGAAGTAACCCAGACCTAGAAAGAAAATTATCCAATACTCACTCTCTCATAAATGAACGCTAGCTTTGAATATTTGTTTCAGTTGGAAAAAACAGGTCAGAAAACTAGTCAAAAGTTATGGGGGTGTTTCATGGGAGGGCAGATAGAATGCAGCTATATAAAGGGAGAAAAGAGACTAATAGGATATCAAGTTTAAATGAGGTAGGGGAAGGGAGGGCAGGACAGAGGATGGGTAGGTGGAGGGATAACTACGAATAAAGGACTTTTGAAAAAGTCATATTGACGCTTACTACTGTAAAGCTTCTTAAACTTAAACTCATTCATTTTGTTTCTTCTGTGCTATCCAAATCATTCTTGCATTTAGTTTCTTTCTTCTTAAATTATCATCTATATGAAAATTATCCACAAAATTTGTATCAACTGAAGTTGTCAACTGATTTTGTGTCAACTGAAGTAATTATAACAAACTGTATCAACTGAATTTGTGTCAACTGAAGTAATTATAACAACTGTATCAACTGAATTTGTGTCAACTGAGGTAATTATAACAGGCAAGAAAAGGTAAAAGATCTAAGCATAAACAAACATTTAATGAACAATTTTATTTGATAGACACATTTTTATTTAATTTTTAAATATTTTATGTGTATGAGTGTATTGTCTGCTTGTATTTAAGTGCAATGCCCAGAGAGGTCAGAAGATGGCATCGGATCCCCTGGAAGTAGAGTTACAGACGGTTGTTAGTTGCCATGTGGGTGCTGGGATTCAAACTCTGGTCTTCTGCAAGAACAGCCAGTGCACTTAACCACTGAGTCATATCTCCAGCTCCACTGATTATACGTATGGCTATGCCAGTATTGACAACAACTGAAATAAGCAATAACTTATAATTTGAACACATTTTTTCTATTTTATTCTTATTTAATTGTAGAGAGAGCCTCAGTATTCAATAGTATCTGCTGTGCTTCATCTCTGTTTCAGTCACTGTAAAATAGTAGAAATGCAAAGATGAATATAACAGTGGGGTCTATCATAGAGGATGGCATGCCTAATGGTATTCCTGTATGACAGGAAGAAACTTGTCATTTCAATATCACATACTGAACATATGCATATATCTTGCCCTACTTTTGTCTAAAAATATGGAAAGACATTTTCCCACAACGTAGTAAGGCACTAGATTCATGCTTTAACAATATGTCCTAGAATATGTTGGTTAAAATTGACTCATTACATCTCTATCAAAACCAGCTTTTAAAAAGTAATCTCTGTCGAAAAGACTCTCAAATTTCATAGGTTTTAACTGTAGGGAGAAAATAAAGTCCTTGACCAATGCCTGGGAGATATGAAGGAGAAGTAAAGCAAGAGTAGTTAGCATTACAAGTTCTAGACAGGGGATAGACCCACTGAAGGGGATACCCCAATTTCCACACACTGAATCCCTGTTCTGCATGGAAGAAGCCAGAGCAGTCTGCATTCCAATTCTCCATGGGCAAATTGGGTTGCCTCTTCAAAGTAATAAAAATAAAAGGTAAAAATTAGACAGTTTTAAAGTAAAGACTCCAAAAGAAAAATGACAAGTTTCTTTCTCAACTAAAAGCTGGAAAATTCCTTGGGTCTGCCAGTGGGCTTATCTCTAAGACTGAAGATGCCAGAACCATAAAAAGGAGGTATTTGTACTGTTTTTAAGTAAATCATACCTGCAGAGTTAGAAAAATACAAGGCCTGAAAAGAGGGAAATGAGTCTTTATGAAAAATTCCTAGAAAACTTCTGGCTCCTGGCTTGCCTCACTAACAGAATGAGTAGTGATGGTTCTATTAGCTTTCCTGTTAAAATCTTGGATAATAAACTCACAAAATTTATCAAAAACAAGTAGAGGCCCTCAAATGCCAGGTAATAGTCAAAAATATCTTAAAGTTCTTCTTAAATAACAAAAGCCATTATCCCAGTAAAGAAGAGGGGATAAAGTGGAGGTGGAAAGCTTTTGCAATGTGATGGTAATTGAGAACTTTGGAGCA